TAAAAGTCAGCACAAACAAGCATTATTCTTAGAGGGCGTTTCAGAGTCTGATCAGCTCTGAAAGGGTCGATTTGGTGAGGTCAGTATGATGTTTGAAAGACCCGAAACTGTCCAATGATCCTTTTCTAGAACATCACTGACGACGCCCTCTAGCGCTAAAGGAGCGTATATTCAAAGTTTCTATTCAAGTCTTTCGATATTTTGTTATGTTATATTCCCTTAATTCTTTACAACGTGTTATTTTTCTTTTAAGACCACATCTTTTTTTTTATAACGCATGGCAGTCTTTATATATCTGAAATAAACTATAGAAGAATATATATTGTTTTTCACTTATGACCTTTCCTATCAATATTTGGTGTCATTTGATCAGAGTGAGAGACAGAATGATGATGAAGCAATAAAATTACTTGTCAGCTGCCACGACCAAAGGACTGGTGATTCACGCACCGAGATCAGTAACGTCCGCTGGATTTGAAATTACCCAGTTTCAAAAACACTATCTAAAGTCAAACACAAAAGAAGGTTGCAGGCGCAACCGAAAATGTTATAATTTCTCAACAGAATTGTTGTGCTTCCATGTGCCAGCTAAATAAAAAAAAAAAACATAAAAACATGCACAGAGTTTATTTGTCAAAACTGTTATTATAAAGGAGCATACGTGGATATTTTCTATCAACACACACATACTTATATATATATATATATATATATATATATATATATATATATATATATATATATATAAAAGGTGAATATAGAAGTCAACACTTAGAGGCTTAGTGATGACTTCTATGTTCACCTTTTATATTTACACACGCTCTATTTCTGATAAATATAGCACACCTTAAGACTATATTTCTTCATCTATATATATATATATATATATATATATATATATATATATATAATATACATATTTTGTGTGAAAAATGCATATTTATTAATATAAATTATAGCCCTGTTATTATACATCGGGTAATATTTTATTAGCAAAGTACTCATATTAATAATAAATATGTATTTTTCCTCGGTGGTAGCACAACTCTATATGAATGAGGCAAACATATATATATATATATATATATATATATATATATATATATATATACACACACAGGGTGTCAGGGTGTCTGTAAACTTCGTGTGCACTTTAATAATTTATAACATTAAAGTGCATACGAACTTTATCGACACCCTATATATATATATATATATATATATATATATATATATATATATATATATATATATATATATATATAATAATAATAATTTTCTTAGGGTTGCTGAACTTTATTATGGAAATAAAAAGGTAAGGACAACTTTACCGTTCATGATTAAAAAAAAAAAAAGACCAGCCGATGTTCATATATCAAAATGTATTTACGTGCTTGTGTACTTTGATGTAATTGTGTCTGTTTTGTTATTTGTAAAATTTCTTCCCCTGCCCACATCATCTTAATTCAGATTCCTTCAGTTCTATCTAAATTGTTTCGATGTTTGAATCGCATTAGATTAGTCTTTGCTCTAACTGAAAATTTGGCTTTTTTAATTAAAACAATAAATAAATAAATAAATAAAATATGTATATTTTTCTCTGTTCCTTCTCCGAATAATGTTATAATATATTAAACTTAACGTAGGGTTAAATTTAAAATTCGTAATATTTATTTTTGAAGATAGTAAAATTAAAAATGAATTCGTTAGAATGATTTCTATTTTAGTCTAACATTAACATTAAGGCATTAATAAATTGTATCTAAGGTTCGTTGTCAAGTTTTCTGAATTATCATATACTTGTATTTTTATTGGTCATTGTAGCTTATGTAATAATGTTTCTTCTATTGAGGGGAGTTTGATTGTTTTTAAACTTTTTAAAACTCTTTATTCTGTTATCAAAACTATCAATTGATATGACGCCAGAAGTGCTGAAACAAAATGCCTATTTTTGTAGTGATGTTATAACAGGTTTATGTTATAACGTTTAAATAAATACTATTTGTTCTATTATTGTGAACTCTTTCAAGGATAGTGTTTTTGGACAATGGAATTTAATTCCGTCTATACCAGTCATATACTTGTATAATGACTATGCTCTCGTTCGTCGATTGAGCACTATGAAGAAAGGGAATTTTTAACAGCTGCCCCTCCTGCTTAACACATAGCTCTTCAACAGAATTGAGCATTCTGGCTGCTGGTCTAAAATTTATATACATCACGTATATAATACGTTAAAAGATTCACTTTTCTCGTCCGCCCCGATAGCTTGGGGATAGATCCTGGCTTAAAGCAATCGGATGTCTAGCAACACTGATGAGCTGTGATACAACGAAACCGGCTGCCTGTATATATATATATATATATATATATATATATGGAGTGGGGATATACACATATATACACGCATGCTGACAACAGTACACGAAAATGGAAATAGATCTAAGAACACACAGGGGTCATTAAAAGATAAGCATGCCGATAACTACTCCATCATTTCTCGAACCAATCAATTGTTTTGTAACCCTTCACGCAGAATTTTCACTGCCAGTTCCAGAAAGATGTTTGGATCACTGACACGAAAAAAGAGAATGTCTCATATCGAGAATATTTAACATCGGAGAAGATAGAGAAAAAAATTAGTTTTAATAATATGTGAAAATCTCCACCCTTTGCCTGATGACGGTCGCGAAACCAGAAACCCGTGTAGCAAAATTATGGCAAATAAAACATAATATTTTTTTAGAAATCCACATTACAACCAAAAACGTTTGCGGTTTCTCTCTTCTATTTAATATACACCTCTTCCTCATATATATATATATATATATATAATCAAAACTTCAAGTGTCGCAGATGTCATCCGCTCATCAGAAGGTTAGGATGTTCAGTTGAATTGCCCTTACTTCAGATTTCTTAAACACATGATGTATGAAATATCAATGATGAGATTTGAAATTATAATTTTCATTTTTTTTTGTTGTTGTTTTTTTCAATTCCGTGTATTTTTAGGTTTTCTCATTTTTTTTGTTTGTTACGCCTTTCGTCTTTTATTCGATATTTAAAGACTGATTCCTTGAAATAATTTTCCTATTCAATTTGTTGCCATCTTTTTCCTTCCTTTATAAAACATCTTCAGCTTAAATGTATGCTTCTGCTTGGACCTCAAGTCTTTCTTTCATTAAATATTTTCCACCTGAGCACATTTTATAAAGAGGCATTTCCGCAAGACATCTCCCTCGCTGTCACCACTGTCGTCAGCGGACTGATCTCAAAATAACAATGAAGGTTTGTTCACTGACAAAAAAAAAAAAACACTTGGCTTTCTTCTCTTAACACCTATTTCGCATTTTCGCTTTCCAATTACTATAGTTTGAGATTCGAGAAGTGAAAGTTGTCACCCGACCATCATTCTTTATTTTAAATTGGTTTCATTCAACGAAAGAAACTCAAATAAAGACAAAAATATAAATATACATACCCTTGTGCAAATTAATTGAAACAAAACTAATAATTCCCATATTATTTACTTTTCTTTTCGTATTTTTCCAATAAAACATGATCCTGTGTACATCTTAGTACTTCGTATGTCCATTCGACAAAGTCTTCCCTTGCAGATTGACCACAGATTCACGATTGGATTTAAATCAGGAGAGTTCCCGGGCCAATCTACAATACTTTGGTTTGCTCACTAGTATGGCTTGCCAGTGTTTTCGTGCAGCGTTACAGTTTTCGTACGCTTCCTTGGAGTGACATCCATCGCAGACAATGGTCGTAGGACAACTAATCGACAGTCGATACAATAGTGTCTGTGAGTGATGAAAATCTGATGCAATCACGGTTGAGGCAAAAGAAATTTCATTATACACTCCGAAAAAAGATTCATATTACTGCACACTACTGCAAATGAGCTAATCTGAAGAAAAAATAGAAACTGATTACACCCTGTGACTCCAGTGGATCTAAAACTGACCGTATGGTGAAAGAAAGGAAACTAAAGCAGTTGTTTCCACTAGGGTGTAGAACAAGACCAGATAGAAGGCGCTTGGGATGGGGAAAATGTGCCACACCTGTCTTCCATGTTAACGTGATTACCTGGAAAAATCAGCATTCTCAATCTCAAAGCAAGTTCATTATTTGTTGTAGCTTTAAAATATTCTCATAGGTTAGCCATTTTTATGATTCTTGCATCAAGAAGATATGAAGAAAATAACAAGGAAGGTTATGCTTGTAAAAAGAGAAATTATAGCTTTACCCCAATCGGTTACAAATGGTAATTATTAACATAAAAGATAAATCCACATAAACTAAGAGAAACATATTTCCTCTCTTTCCATGAGGAACAAAATTTGTTTTCATGTTAAAATCTCCCCACCGGTTCTAATAAGGAACCATAAAAAAAATTGCGGATTATACACAAAATGGTTTGACGAAACATATTTCTGTATATTTTACACAATTATTTCACCTTTACAGAACTCTCACATTAAAATGGCAGACTGATTACTGCAAAAATTTTGAACTCTGTTTCAGTGAGTCTGCTAGACTTCTCAAGCTTGATTCATTATGACAACATGCCTTTACCCTAGTCTGGTTCAAGGACACAGTAACTAGAAATAATAATCTAATGAGGGTCAAATTTATGCAAGCTTGCTGATCATCGCGCTAAACGAGGCGATTATCCAAAGAGTAGCTTTTAGCATTAATAGAAATGTATTGATAGGTGAACGATGAAGTACAGACGACGTCAAAAGGACTGATAAAGAACCAAAAGGAATATGTCAGAAAGAAATTCTCTGAATCTGTTTAAATATAATAGAATTTCCCATCTTGTAACGCAGTCGATAAACAGAGTAAGAGATGAAAAGAGCCAAGACATTCAAATTGTCATTTCATAAATATTTTGATGTTGCTTTTTGAATAGAAGTAAATTTCTCTATAATTTTTTCTAGGACTACAAAATACAAAATTAATTAAATGAATAAACCAAGATGAAGACGTTAAGTAGGAATTATAAGCATAGAGAGAGAGGAGGAGAGAGAGATAGATATGAGCAGAATGAGATAGATAGATAGATAGATAGATAGATAGATAGATAGATAGATAATGAACATACAACAATAGATAGATAGATAGATATAAACAGATTGAGATAGATAGATAGATAGATAGATAGATAGATAGATACTGTGCATCTGTTAAAACCTTGGTTATTTAGTTTAAAAATTAAGATGAAAAGACGAATTGGCCCCATTCTCGAAGACTGTTGATTCTGTCAAATCTTGTACTCTTTCTGTTCATGTCAACACAGAATCATTCAAGATAAACAAATTACTGAGTGGTGATAAGAAAATCAATCAGACGATGTAATTAAATGATCGAATGTAAAGTCGGCGTTGACAACAGTCAAGTCAAATTAGATCAATAACGAATCGAATGAAGTTGTATTTTGTTCAGTTGTACAGGCAAATATCGATCTCCTTTTCTATGAACAAAAGCGTGATTTTTGTGTTATTGAGACAGAGAGGCGGAGAGGAAATAGAGTGATCAACAAACGTCAACAAGTTGTTGTGGTATTGATTCCACAAGTGGTCGAAAGAGGCTCTGGAGACATGTTGAATGATGAATTTTTATAGCTATCTACAGCCCCCTTATACGTATTTATAGGTGTATGATAATGCATCCGATAATTCCCCTCCGTCATGTCCCCTAAATGCTTCATTGGTTTGGTATCAGGCGAACATGGTGGCGATTTGAGCCTGACTATACAGTGCATTATCCTGTTGACCTCTAACCTGCTAGCTCTAACTCTGTCGAGAAAGAGTCTATGAATGTGTTGAAATTGTCACGAAGCAGTACAATGCACCGGTCACCGGTCATTAACATGATTAGATGAACACGACTAGAACCGAACTTTTGTCATGAGAACAGACCTGTAAATCGGTACCATCAGCCTGAATGTTTCTGGGTGCAGTGACTTCACGGATCGCTCTTCACATATGAATTTTGCTGTAAGCTGAGAACAGCTTAGACCGTGACTTTTCGGACTACACCAAACCTTGTCAATCTTCCCAACTCCAATTAGCAACGGCAGAAATGTCATGTGTCAATGTGCTAACAGGAACACCCTTGTGGCTCTTCTGCATTCATATCCCATAGAAGCGAAAGAGCGGTGATATCATCCAAGTCTAGCTGGACGCCTCAGGTCTAAATCACTAAAGACCCGTGGTCGGCCACTGCCCTCTACACGGAGGGACGTCATATCATCTATTATGTATTCGCTATACACACGTGACATCCTAAAGCGAGGAATGTGAAATATCCCCAAATTTTCAAAAACGGAACATCTCATCCATTCTGGTTGCCACTACAATGTCCGAAGATGAAACTGACACACCAGATGTCAGAGCACAAATGTTAGAGGTAAGGGCATGACGTCAATGTACGATGGTATAAATTTCCATGATATTTATTTGCTGATATCCCATGATATGTGTCACGACAGTGTGCATATCTGTGTGTTTACAGATACGCACATATACGCACACAAATATAGATAGATAGATAGATAGATAGATAGATAGATAGATAGATAGATAGATAGATAGAGTCAACGACGAAATTATTCGTACTCCCATCAATTTTGAATATTTTTATCCATTTCTCAGAATTTAATGTCAGTATGATGCCAGTTTTTTTTATGTTAATAAGCACAAAATAAGGAATATAAAACTCAATTTTCAGAACAATAGGTTAAATACAACAAATTTGACAGCTGAATTATGCAAAACAGAAAAAAAGGCAAAATTATTCCTACAATAGAAAATATCGTTTTAAATTGATTGATTCGTATACTATTTACATTATTCAGACTATTGTCCTCATCTTTGTCGCCATGTTTATCACAACGTTTCGGGCGTTGTACGCTTCGGCCTTCTTTAGGTGTTTGGAATGTCGAACTGAACCCTTTATTTTGCTTACTGGGGTAGACTGTTCTAGTTCCACGTGCCATGTTTGATGGATCTCAGTTATCAGTTATCTCCTGTTAATTTCCCTCTGAAAGTTCTCCACTGCCTTAACCGGGTATTGAACTCACACCGTTTGGGTCCTGTCACTGGATCTAACTAACGCCTTTATCCACTGTGCCATGTGTCCTTGAGGACATCTGTGAATGAATTTCTGGGTATTATAAATAACATATGGAGAGAAAAGAGAGATCACCGCATTCTGTGGGATCAAGTTGAGGTCATAGACAAGGAACATCATTGGAAAATTCGTAAACTTAAGAAATCACCACATATACTAGGCCACAAAATCTCCTGAGCCGACCAAACATAGAAATGAATACAGTATGGGAACCAGTAATAAGGAGTTCCAGAGAAAAGCGATAATAACAAAAAAAATGCAATATGAGCACTGGTAAAGAACATGCAATGATAACAGCAAAAATTGCAATATGAGCACCGGTAAAAAGGTTGCTGAAGACATTAGGTTTATAAATTTGGAGAACTTTGAGAGGGAAATTAACAGGAGATAACTGACATCCATTAGACATGGCACGTGGAACTAGAACAGTCTACCCCAGTGAGCGAAATAAAGGGTTAAGTTCGACATTCCAACCACCTAAAGAAGGCCGAAGCGTACAACGCCCGAAACGTTGTGATAAACATGGCGACAATAGTCCGAATAATGTAAATAGTGTACATAATACCTCATCTCAGAAATATAGACAGATACTGATTCATTCGTGTAAGTAGAAGTAATTGACATAATTACTTTTTCGGTGAATCCTTCTAGACTATTTATTCAGTAGAATACTTGTGATAATTCCAGCAAAGAACATCATGTGGTGAATAGAGTGTCACCATTGTTATTCTTACGTTAACAACATGATGGGGACGACAATGGAGCTTAGCGTTGACTTGAGACAGAGAATTACTAACTTCCACAAGTCGGGAAATAGTTACAACAATTTCAAGCCAACTAGCTATTCGCAGATCTACGGTAGAGTCCGTTATAAAGAAGTTTAAACAGTTTGGCACGACAAAGAATGTGTCTGGGCATGGAAGAAAACCCAAATCGTCACGAGAACTGCACGAAAACTAAGAATTGTTTTGAAAGACATCGTCAAAAGTTTGGATACGATGGGTATCAGCGTAAGTACTCGCACAATACAACGTTGCTTAACTGGAAATCGGTTGTATGGAAACCGGCCACGACGAACCCCTCTTCACAAACCATGTCACACTGTTGCTCTTGGACAAAGAAAATTGCTTTTGGGAACAAGTACTATGGAGTGATGAATCAAAAATTGAAATTTTTGGACATAAAGATGTACAGAAGATTTGGCGCAAGAAATGTGAAACTTTCCTCTCAAGGAACACAGTGGCAACATTAAAACATGGAGGCGGCTTCATGATGTTTTGGGGTTGTTTTACCTCATGGGCGACTGGACAATTAATTGCAATAAGAGGAATAATGAAATCTGCAGACTATATCAAAATTCTGGATGAAAATCTACAACTATCAGTGCAAAATCTTCAACTAGGTTGGCGATTTACTTTGCAGCAAGAGAATGATAACAAACATACGTCTAATTCAGTGACTGTGTGGTTTCAGAAAAGGAGGATTACAGCTCTGCCATGGCCTTCAATTAGTCCTGACTTGAATCCTATTGAAAATCTATGGCAAGAATTGAAAGTTCGAATAAATCGTCGGTCACCAAAAACCTTCAGAAATTAGAACGTGTAGCCATTGAAGAATGGAAGAAAATTCCAGAAAAGACTTGTTCAAATCTCATCAAAAATTTCAGAAAACGATTGCAGCAAGTTATAAAGATGAGAGGCCATGCTATTGATTATTAATATTGTGAAAATTGTTCAATTTTTTTTCTATTTTTCATACTGTACGAATAATTTTGTCATTTCCTATTTGCATAATTCGCCTGTCAAATTTGTTGTATTAAATCTATTCTGAAAATTGAGTTTTATTTTCCCTTTTATAACCTTGTTAATATGTAAAAAAAAAACTTGGCATCATACGGGCATTAGTTTCTGAGAAATTGTTAAAATTATTCAAAATTGATGGGTGTACGAATAATTTTGTTGTTGACTATGGATAGATATATATAGAGAGAGAGAGATACAGAAAGAGAGAAAATATTTTGCTGAATTCAGCCCATGTTCAAGCAAATATAGTTAAGATCGGACGCAATATATATATGCAACCACTTTACTACTCATCAGTAGATAGATAGATAGATAGATAGATATGTATGTATGCGCGTGTAGGTTCACGCGTGCGCATACACTTCAACAACAAGGTGGAATTTTATTCTCAGTGGTTGGTCCATAATTTTACCTTTATGTCAATCGATGTACATCCAACCATCATCATCATCATCATCCCCTTGAATTTGTTAGCGTGGGGGAGATCCGAATCCTTCAACGGTGCCTTGCATGATGGTCTTGCACAGGATATCGTGCATTGTAATAATAGATAGATAGATAGATAGATAGATAGATAGATAGATAGATAGATAGATATTGTCGTCATCATCATCATCATCATCATCATCATCCCTTTGACTTTGTAATCTTAGGGCAGATCTGAATGCAGAAGCCACACTAACTCTTTTCCACAACGGTCTATCAACGACAGGCATCAGCAATTTTGGTATAGTCATAAGTGTCTAATTTTTGACATTGCCCAACCAGTATTTGCGTGGGCCTCCTTTACTGCGTCCACCTCGGACAGTACCTTGCATGATGATCTTGCCAAAACTACGCCCTTTTTCTCCGCTCGACACACGCCTGAAGAGGTTCCTGGTGGTCCACCAAATTTTCAATCCTTGCCCGCGTACATAAAAATGAATAAAATCCAAAGCTGATAATAAAGCCAGAAAATTATTTCGTAGAACTCTTCACGAAATACTACAATACATAGTAATACAGAAGGAAATAAAATATGAAAAAATAAATATTAAAGTCTGAAGTGGAATCAGTATTGGTGGCCAAATGAAACAGAAATAAAGCAACAGGGCCAGTTGGAATTGTAGTTGAGATGCAGGCAGCTTCAGATAAGTTCGGCGTTACCAGAATTACAAACATAAGGTAAAATATAAACATATGTAAATATAAAAGTGGAAAATCCAGCGGCGACAGACTGTTTCATGCTTAAATGCAATTACTAGGCTTAATGTTTAAGTATGACTCACATTGTAGCCGCTGCATGTTGTCAACTACTAAGACATAACATATATTAATTGAACTATATAATTAGTTCATGACATATTAACTGAAACCACTTGTAAAAATAGAATACGTGGATTTAACACATCACAAGAAAAGTTCAAATAAAATTCTCACTTAAAATTTTGAAAAACTTAGCGTTGCGTCTTTGCACGTTCCGAGATCGTACACAACCGTCAATAATAGGACATTCTCAACAAAAAAAAACATCTCTCGGTCTACAAACAATTATTTCGTCTCCAAGTTTTAATTTTAAAAGGAAAAAAATATTCCTGACGATGAATAAAGGATTATTTGAAAGTACTTGCATTTTAAAAGAATATAAACTAGAAACAACAGACAAGAGTTTTATAAATGAGGGTCACATCATTCTAAGGATTAACAGTATTTTAATGCATACATTATATTCTACTAGCGATGGGATATCGCCAATAATAGCATTAATATTGATGATTGATTCTATGCGTGATTGTTTCTTTGTATATAAATTATATGCTGCCTAATGTTTTATGTTTATATATATATATATATATATATATATATATATATATATATATATATATATATATAAATTTATCACATACTGTATATGGTTTGATTTTAATGGTGAAGGCTTATGTAGAAGCAGCTATAATTTTCGAAAGCACTTATAACATGGAAATGGTATTCAGGGTCTAAAATCAACCCTTCCCCTTTTTTATTTTCACCGCCTCGGAAAAAAGAAGACCTTAAGTCACACGAAATAACCGAAAACAAAAATCCTTGTTCGGAGCTGATTAGATCAACCCGAATTTGATGTTTTAATACAATACACGACATGCGATTTAAACCCTTAATAAAGAAACGAAACTCGGTGCGTGTATAGCAAAAACCGTCAACAGCAAATTTGCGCTTAATAGCTTAAAAAATAGAATTGGTATTTTTTCCCTTTTTTGATTCACGTGTTTTCCGTGTCCTTCTGAGAATATTAAGACATAGTATGGATATTGTATCTTTATTAGCATGACCACGAAGGGACTTTCTTTTAAAAATTTTAAGTAGCCAATCGTAACAGGTAAAAAGAATTGCCCAAAACATGCTGGTGGCTAATCAATATTTCATTAACAAACAAGATTTATTAATAAATTTTTATTGTTTTGATCATATTCAAATTCTCTGCGTGATATTGTAAACACTTTCCTTTTGTATTTACAAATATCACATCATTTGAAAAGTAAAAAAACAAAAAAACATAATTAAATAAAGCAACCAAAATCAACGAAAGATTTCAATGAAACCAATATCATCATGAAGCTGCTGATAGACTTACAATGAATTAAATGTAGGTGTTTTCATCAAAGTCTAGCTGGACACCTCTGGTTTCAATCACTAAAGATCCGTGGTCGGCTACTGCTCTCTCCGCAGAGGGACGTCATATCATCTATTATGTATTCACTATACACACGTGACATTGGTAATAAACGATAATACTTAGGACAAGAACAACACATATAAGATTCGCCATCGCCACGTAGAAGAAGTAATCAACTGCTAGAAGTGAATCAAGTGAATTCTACAATGAATCTCGTAGATATCTACCTACCGCTCCACGCGGTCAGATGTGGCACAACGCCGAATTTAATGTGGGGTATCCGGGCCCGTAGGCTCGACCGAAAATTCTCCATAGACCCCGTATAAAACGGGGTTGAATAGCTGTTTCCCGAGATGAGACTCTGCTCTTCAACATAGCCTACTCTGGGGATCCTCTCTACCTGGAGGCAGAGAGTTTGACCAACACAGCTGGAGACGAACCTCCAACTCTAAACCACGTACAGTATTCATTATTGTATTTATGAGAATTGGGACATACCAACTATTGTCCGTAGTTATGCTACAACAGATAGATAGATAGATAGATAGATAGATAGATAGATAGATAGATAGATAGATATGAAAAGTCTGAGATAGACCGATATGAAGAGACTTTTGTTGAATTATTTAAAAAAAACTTGTTTCAATCTGTGAAACTTTGGAAATATTGCGGGGAAAAGGATTTTCAATAACTTTAAAAATGTTTTTTGTCATATTTCGAGGTCCTAGACAAAATACAGAGACGGATATGCAGTATGATAGGTCCTGATCTGGCATCTTGTCTACAATCACTTTCTCACATACGTGATGTGGCTTCCCTCTGTCTTTTCTGCAAATATTTTCATGGCAACTGCTCTGACGAGCTACTTTCACTGCTAACCCCAACTGCATGACCTTAAGCGTGCTACTAGGTTAGCATCTTGATCCCATCCTTTCACTGTCGAAATAGCTTCTTCTCCCGCACTTCCCGACAGTGGAACTCCTTTCCTCTTACTTGCTTCCCTGATAACTATAATCTTCAAATATTCAAATGTAATCTGAAACGACATCTTCTGATGCCTTGATCCTGATCCTCGTCCTTCTCTATATCCTTTCCTCAAACAACCCCCCTTTACTGTTGCTCTCACTCTTTGTAACCCCTTGCATGCTAGTGGTACTTCCGCCTTTCCCGCTTAAAAAATTTGAAAAGGTACGAAAAGTTTTGCTCAAAATATTTGCACGACTCTGATTATATTCTGCCTTGCCGATAGCTTATTTTTTTTTTTTTTTTGCTGAAATGAAACGGCATTTTGACCCAAGGATGCAAATAATAACAATAACAATATCTCCAAATAGCGACTAAATAATTGAATTCAATATTTTTTTATTTTTATAAAAGTTTTGAAAGACATTTATTCATTAAATACTTATAAATAATTTCTTTGTGTGCACTCGTCAGTTTGTTAGGGTGAGGCTGCAGATTATGTCCTACGTTGTATCTATCCTAGTAAATATAACGCGCTATCTTTACCCCGCCGAGCAGACATTTCCTTGTCTCCAAAACCCAGCACTTTCTGCTCCAATGAATTTCCCTGTTATTTTACACAAATGCTTTCGTCTTTCCCATAATGAGCTACAAGAAAAGCCCATTAGACGACATGAAAACTTTCCTATTCATACGAAGAGCTCAGCGGTATACTTCCTTCAAAAATGTTAAACATTTCAAGCAATAATAATACCACATTAATTCCTTCTTCAAAGTCCAATTATAGAATAAGCTCATTCGCATATTCTGTTTCTTTTATTTAAAAACTGATACCTTATCTTGTTTGGGAACAGCCAGACAAGTGAATGTACGCCATTTTCATTCAAGGGCAGTAACTCGAACTTTTCTTTTCACAGAAAGTGTATACTTAATTCTAGTTTGAAATCATCAAATGATAGATTTATGCTCATATGATTTTTAGGATTATGTCGATTTTAGGCGGGGAGATGCATTATTTTTCATTGTTTCCAACATTTCATAAATAATTCATATGTTCATTTTACTTGACGCAGTTTGTTCTTGATTTAACATCCGTGCGCATGCGTGCATAGTTGACATTATGTTACAAGTTTCTGAGTCTTCCGTAAGAATTACTCATAAAGCAAAAGTGTTGTACTGGCAGGTTAAATTTAAAAATAAGCCACAAGAAGCATCATCAGTAACAAAAGACAATTGGAAGCCGCCCATCATAAGTGCCTCTAAAAGTTTTTTTTTATATATATATATATAAATATCTCACCTGAGCAAACAACACCAGCGAGCAGATTCCTTACACTGGACACATACAAAACACATTATATATATATATATATATATATATATATATATATATATATATATAAATATAAAGAAAATATATAAAAATATATATTAAAATATATAAATAAATATATATATATATATATCCTAATGTAACAGTGTATAATATAATGTAATATATATATATATATATATATATATATATATATATATATATATACAAAGAAATAATCACTCAGCAATATTGATTCTATGCGTGATTATTTCTTTGTATATAAATTATTTCTGCTTAATGTTTTTATATATATATATATATATATATATATATATATTAGAACCAATTAATGTTTTTTAATCTAGTACCAACTATTTTTATTTCCGTCAGCCCCATTTCCCACCGACACAATGTAGCAAGCCTACCGCAACTCCCTATTTACCAACCTCCCCACAAGGCAAGATGTTCACAAGGCCAGTTTTTAACATGGTGTGTTCCGAGCCCATGGCCTCGGGCAAAAATTGCCCGTAGACTCTGTATACACGGGATCGGGTTTGTCTACCTTCCCAAACCAGACTCTGCCCTTCGGCATAGCCTCGTCTGGGTTCCTCTCCGCCTGGAGGCAGAGAGTTCGACAAGAGAGGAAGATGAAGAGGAAACCTCCTCCTCGTCCTCCCGCAACACTGTTTAATAGCAAATGTCACATGATAATTGTTTTGACCAGCTCCATTCATTTGTTCCCCTAATTCAGACCTTTACAGCTAGTACCCTATACGCAACCTAAACAGGCTCGAATCATCCTTATTCTCTTCGTAAACAAATTGTAAGATGGGATTTTAACTCAGATTCTTGCCAATAAATACAACTCGAGTGAGTGCTTCCTACTACAATTTTAACCTCTTGAATATAGCATTAAAGTTAGGATGCTTGTCTCCGTTGGTAGTTGCATAATTAAAAGAAAAACTTGTAGTTCCAACGAATGATTTACTTCATGGAAATATTTCGACTACCTCTTGCTAGGCTTGATCACTCCTTTAATTTGAGAAAAACAATGGAAAGAAACTAGAAACGCTTAAGAATTCAAATCAATGAAAAAACCGAGTTGACGATGTTTACAAAGTAAACGTCATCAACTCGGTTTTTAGTTTCTAGTTTCTTTGTATTGTTTTACTCTAATTAAAGGAGTGACAAAGGCTAGCAACAGCTAGTCGAAATCTTTCCATGAAATAAATCATTCGTTGGAACTACAAGTTTTTTTCTTTTAACTCTTCAATCTAGGTTCAGTTGTTGTCTCCCATCCATATCCTCGAGGTATTCACATCTTACTGCCTGTTCTTACGTCCATAACACTCACCTCAATTTCTAAACCTCTAATTCGAATGGCTCTTAAGCCTGAAACCCCGCTGAATAAGAGAGACTGCTGCGTTATCTTAAGTTAAATTCAAAATAACAGCACGTGATATGCGAGAGAAATTACTTATTCTAGTGATCGTTGTAGTAGAGTTTTCCTCTCTGCATTAACATGGCTATGAGTGGGAAACGATTATAACAGAAAGAACTAGATTATACAAACATTTTCTCTCTCTCTCTCATATATATATATATATATATATATATATATATATATATATATATATATATATATATATCAGTCAAAACCAAGCGGCGACAGCCTGTTTCATGCTTGAAGGCAATTTTCAGGACATGTTTATTGATTTTTAGCTCGAGTATTTATATATGATGATCAGTGATGCATTATGGGTAGTAAGGTTTACAAAATGCGATATTAACATGGAAGCTAAAAAATTCTCAATCATTAGACGTAGAAGTACGAATAATTGTCATCGCCAAAATCACAAGCATTCATTACACTAAAAGGCCACAAAGAAAACCCCAGACACATAAACCCAACTAAAACTGAACTAGGTAAAATAAGTAAAATAATATTAGAAAGAACTAACTCAGACCTAGTTAGGAGTAAACTAGTGGAAAACACAAAATTATAGACTGGTTTCTCAACTTAAGAAAACAATATTGAAAATTTATACAACTAGATATAAGATTTCTATCCTTCCATAAAAGAACCCATACTAGATAAGACTATCTCCTTAGACGAAGAAAAAGAAAAATAAGCACAAAAGAAGTAAAAATCATTAAGCACTACCGAAAATCCCTATTATTTAGCAACAAAGACGCGTGGCTACAGAAAGAAGGAACATTTGACGTTACAATGGGAAGTTATGATGGTTCTTCATCCTGCAAGCTTATAGGTATATATTCATTACATGAAGTAAGTAGAATAAACGATAAAAATGATATGTCTATAGATCCCTGTAATAGACTAAAAACAGAGAAAACCGGAAAAAATAATCAGAAAAATTTTCAAAAATATGGGATTCGACATAGATATAAAAACAGACCTAAATGAAGTAAATTTCCTAAACGTCACAATCAAACTAAGAAAAGGTACATATCAATCCTATAGAAGACCAAACGACAAGCCACTTTAAAGACACTCCTTTGAAACCACTCGCCAACAATAACCAAGCAGATGCATATATACAAATCAATTAACCACAGGTTATCGGGCAATATTCAAAAAAAAGATTATGAAAGAGCTCTAAATGATAATGGATTTTCGGCAACATTTACATACACACCACATGTACAAAAAAAAATCAAAATATATGATTCAACCAACCGTACAACATAATTTAAAAATAAGCGTAGGAAAAACTCATATACAAACACTTCCTCCCACTATAAAGCACTTTCCACAAGATATTCAACTGCGACACGGATCAGCTACAGAAAACCTATAATTTATAAAAATAACCAAAAAAAAAACACCCACGGAAACCAAATTTACCTGTAACAGAAATGAAGGAATGTCCCCTAAATGGCAATTTCGTACAAAACATTATAATACACGAAGCCACAGTAAAATCAGCAGATGTCGAAGAGAAATATACATAGGAGTAACTGAAAGAACTTGGAAACAGGGAAATTACTTACACAAAACATATTTTGCAAACAATATATACGCGGGCAGCACAATGTTTTGTAAATATACCTGGGAAATTAAAAACAAAAACAAAATTAATCCAAAAATATGAAAAATAAGGAAAAAAGACATAAACCTACAACAATAAATCTAAAAATGTAAACACTATCTGCAGGAGAAAATAGTTTTAATTACCTCCCCAGACCAACATAAATTATTAAATAAATCATCAGATGTCTTCTCGAATTGTAGGCATGAAAACAATTTTTTACTGCATTACTTTAAACTCGAAAACTAAAATTGAA